ATCTTTAGTGCCAGCAACAGACTGAAAAGTTCAATCTGCAGTTTATTTTTTTTTTTTAAGTTGCTCTAAACGATACAAATGTACATGTGCTCTACACTAATTTAGATACCAATATCAAGAAAAGGGAAAATGCCACAAAAACCATTAAACTATGCCATGTAAAATTAGTACTTATGTTAAAAAAGAAATCATAGCGCATGACTATGGGGTTTATATGTTCTTAATATCTATACATGTATATATATGGTTTTCCTCCACCTAATAATTAAGTTTTTGGATTTGACTTTCTAAAATGGTATTGGTTTTTGCCCCAGTTTATTTGGCACGTGCATCGACCCTATTAGTCAAATTTCAGGTGTCATTTCTAATCCTGCTTAAGTGCATGAGAGAGTGTTCCCATATACCACATCGCTTGACTTGATTATGGGGTTTATATTTTGTTGGTGTCAGCAAAACCCTAAACTTGTACCATTGTGGTAAAAAAAAGTAGCCATTGTCTACACCAGATACCTTAAACTTTGCCAACTATGACACTAATAACCTAATTCTTTTTTATTTCAACAATACCCCAAACTTAAACCAGTGTAAGCATAGTTTATGAGCTTTGGTGACATAAAATATTTGAGGTATTAGTGTCGCAATGGGCATATGTTAAGGGTTTTTGGTGACAAAAAAATTGAAATATTGATGTCACAGTGGCATGATTTAGGGTTTCTTGTTTGTGGTTAACCTCTAACAAAACTTAGTATGGAATGTTTTATGGCCAGACCAATTTGGAAACTTAGAGGTGAATTAAAGAAACAGATTTCAATTTATATTTTCTGCAAGATCCGAGTTAAATTATCCACAATTTATTAGTAAGGACACAAATCAGATACTAATTGGGAAACTTTACACCATAATTCTCCCGTACCTTTTATTTGCCTATACATAATATCGGAACTACAAGTATTCCTTTGAGCTCAAATTACCGAAAAACCAGTAACATCCGTAAGCAGATTGAGCGTTTACTTTTACCCACACTTTTCTTTATCTTTCTCTCCTTTTTACCCGCATCTTTTTTGGGATAAGTGCATTGGAAATCCTAAAACTTGTCACGAAAGTGCAATTAAATCCTAAAACTTTCAAAAAGTGCAATTAAGCTCTCAAATCGGTCACAAAAGTGCAATTGAGTCCTAAAATTTTCATAGAGTGCAATCAAGTTCTAAAACTTGTAAAATTGATCTAATCAAGTCTTTCTGTTGATTGCCCTTTTTGAAAATTTTAGGACTGAATTTCACTTTCATGAGAAGTTTCAGGACTTGATTGCACTTTTTCGAAGTTTTAGGACTCGATTGTACCTTCGGAACAAGTTTTAGAACTTAATTTCACTTTTTGAAAGTTTTAGGACTCAATTGCACTTTCATGACAATTTTTAGAACTTCTTGTACACTTATCCCTTTTTTTTATACCGATCTAGAGTTGCTAGATTGAAACAATCGAATAACCCTAAAATCTATGCACTAATTTCAACAAAGAAAATATTGAAGAATGTTTCTTAGGCACTAGTTAAATATTATTATATGTGCTTTGAAAATATATAATATAATTTTAAAGTGAGTGAATTTTTTAAAAAGCGTAATTATTTCATTTTCAAGGAGTTCTGCGAGGAATTATTTCCACTATTGATTAATTTTAAAAAGACCCTTTTGACAATTAGGGGAAGTTGCTATTTCCACAGCCAAATTGGCCGGGAAGGCAGTCTCACCACGAAATCTCTCTTTCATGCTGACTTGGTTCAGTCCAAGCTCATGCACGTGAACCCAACACTTTTTTTTTTTTTTTAAACTTATTGTAACTGAGTTAATAAATTGAATCCATCAAAACAGCGAACAAGAGAGATCTTCGCAAGCAACGTTGGACGATGAAAAGCAAGATGGGAAGTGTGTTATTTGAAATACTTTTCTATAACAAATTGTGTGATTACCTAATTGTAAAGTCAAGATTTATGTGGGGCATATATTCTAAGAATGAGATCCAAGCAGTGGTGGGAGAATCAAATAAAAGGAACGACTTTGAATTTGGCTCAAGGGAATTTGTCACCGCACATGCGCGTATATATATAATTATATATTGCGCTAATTTGCATCTATCAATTATAGTAACATCCAATCCAGAACTCTAACCCTACACATTTGTAGCGTCATAACAAGCAATATACAGATGGCATCCTTTTCAATAGAATTCGTACCTATAAATAGCAATACTAGAGCAAGAGTCACGCATATACTTTTGGGAGAAAATTATTAAAAAGGAAACAATCGAGAGAGCTATTTTGAAATGCTCAAGGACAATCCTCCTCATGCTCATTTTGGCTTTTGGCTTAGCTTCTCTCCCCGCAACAAATGTAAGAGACCCGGTCCCAGAAGGTCGTTCCAGTGTTGGAGAAGAAGGTGACGCAACACATTTTCACTACCGAATCTTGCCTCGAACCCCCGTTCCACCATTTGGACCTGGTTGCCGTCACAATTGCAGCTTGTAGCCACCATTGGATAAGCAAGGCCGCCATTTGGTGAAATTTTGAAGCAAATACTAATAACTATTAAATAGAATCACCGATGAAATAAAGATTTTGGGATTTAGTTGCGAGTTGATTTGTTTGTACTTGGCAAAAATCTGTGATTGTTTAGTCATGCCATCTCTGCTTGGTTTGATTTGTTTTATTGGATAGAATACAATGCGTTGTTTTCTTAAAATTGGAGGGGCCTACAAATAATCTAACCTAAGTATTCGACTTTAAAAGGAAAATGGATAGACAAAAGCCTTTGAAAATCTAAACTTATGATAATTCTTTGTGACAGGGTCGAGCCAAATAAGAGAAGGACATTCGTAATCATCACTTCCGTGGAATTTTCTTCCAACTAAGTAATTGTAAGTATATTTTATATCGAGTGTCGTTCCAAGTTGGCTTACAATGGAGGTCTAACATTAAACAACAAAAGAAGCAATTTTTTGGCTAAAAATAAGAGAAGCATCAGGTTGAAACAATTAACTAGCATGTGCAGTCTACTCGCTTTGACCAACATCTTGTTCTTGCAACTCAACTAGAGCAGTTTCGGACCCACTAAAATCCGTCCGAGTTCCCACGACGGTGGACTCGGCAGGGGTATAAACACCTTCATTTTAGTGCTATCCATCTTGCATTAATAAGCTTTCATGGCTACAAAGGTTTGCCAGATATAGGCTCGCTCGGCGCTTCTTTAATCCAAATATTCAAATACGTTTAGGATTTGTGGTAGTCAATATCATGCATAACTCAAATCTAAAATGCTAACCAAATCTTTCTTCGGTTTTTTAAAAATTCATGATAGGATTGTTGGGTAAAATACTTCGATTTGTGAAAAAACCAAACGAGCTAACATGAAATTGTAGTTATTTTGAATGTATGGCCCTCCTTGTGATTATAATGACAGAGTTAAGAGGAGTAACTTCAACTTTATATACATACAAGTATCGTTAGGATGGAATCCAACTTTACTTGGTCTGGTCCAAGTTCATGCTAGCAAGCACAACACTGTTTCTCTTTGTTACCGAGCTAATAAAGGCAACCCATTATAATGGTGAACAAAAGAGAGCTTCAGGAGCAATGTGGCACAATGAAAAGCAAGATGACAGGTGAGTTATTGAAATACTTTTCTACGGCAAATCATGTGATTACCGAAATGAAAAGATCAAAGTTTAAGCGGGATTTGTATGTGTTAAAAAAGGGAACGAAGTAATGGCAGATGGATTCCATAGAAGGATTGATTTAGAATCTGGCTCTCGATGGAAATTGTCATGTATATAAGGAAGTATGTCGAATAACTTGTGCTAATTTGCATCTATAAGATCTAGAAACAAATCTAGAACTCTAACACTACACATGAGTAACATCATAACAAGCAATATAGAGATGGCATCCTTTTCAATAGAATTCGTACCTATAAATAGCCATACAAGAGAAAGAGTCATGCATATACTTTTGGGAGAAAACTATTAGGACAAAAGAAGAAGAAGAGAAACAATGGAGAGAGCGAATTTGAAATGGACGATCCTCCTCATGCTCGTTGTAGCTTTTGGCTTAGCTTCTACAACAATGGCGAGAGACCTGGTCACAGAAGGTAGTGCCGGCGTCGGAGAAGAAGGCGAAGCAACTCATTTTCACTACCGGATCTTGCCTAAGGGCGGCCCCACCATACCATCTAGCCCTAGCTGCCGCCACAAATGCGGTCCTCCATACCATACCTTGCCTAAGGGCACCCCCATCCCACCATCTGCACCTAGTCCCATCCACAAATGAGGCTTGTCGCAACCGTTGCATGATTAAGTTCGCCATCTAGTGAAATTTCAAAACTATTACTTGTAATTGTTCAATAGATTCACCGATGGAATAAAGTTGTTATGGATTCGATTGCGTGTTGATTTTGTTTGTAGTTGGCAAAATCTGCAATTGACTAGTCATCGCATCTCCTCCTGGTTTGATTGGCTTAATTCGAGGGGATACCCAGAGTAGTACTATCGAAATTTGAGGATCACACAGGTAATTTAAAATAAAATATTCGACTATAAAGAGAAAAACGAGTGGATAAAAGCCTTTGGAATTTTAAGTTTACAACATTTCCGTACGGCGGCGGAATCGAAACAGCTCAAGTAAGGGAGATTCAATTCATGATCAATGCTTCGATGGCGCTTTTTTTTTTTCCGGCTACTAGTAATTGCGGGTATATTATATCTCGAGATTTGGTTTGAATAAACTTTTTATTATCTTGATGTCCTTTTTGCAAAGATAATTGGAAAAACGAGATGAAAGTATTTCAATATGATTCCAAGGAATTGGAAAAATGCAAAAGGAAAAAGGAATTAGAGACAGAGAGAGAGAGATGAAAACATTTGGGGAGGGAAACGGAGGGAATTGTATTGGGCGGCCCGACAAAACCGCCTCTTAAAAGCTGCAGTTCACAGAGAGAGAACATCGACTCTTCTCTTCTCTGTCGCTTCGACTCTGCGGGTGGCGAGTTTTCTCTGCAATGGCGACCCAGAAGCTGACGGAGTACGAGCGCCGGAGGCTCGAGAACATCCAGCGAAACGACCAGATGATGGCCGCCCTCCAGCTCCATTCCAAGGCCTCCCTGCTCTCCGCTTCCTCCAAGCGCCAAAAGTACACACGCACGCACGCACGCACGCTCTCTCTCTCTCTCTCTCTCTCGTCATTTGGCCTCGTGTTTTTTTTTTTTTTGTAGCAATCCTCGGGTGCCTTTTTGGTTGTTTGCTCCGTTCGTGCGCGTGATGCGTGCGCTTTTGTCGATGTCAGGGTCGAGAACAAGGCCAAAGCCTGCGCGGTCAAGACGTACAGGGTGGCTAAAGACGAGGCCCCGGTCGTTATTCGGCGCTCGCTCCGCGCCAGAGGGATGCCGCCGGACTCCGAGGGTCTCGAGGGCGACTTCGGTGACGCGGCCCCTCGAGCCCCAGAGTCGAACCCCAAGTTCTCGCCGCCCCGGGATTTGGGGTCTTTCTCTATGGGCGACGCGTACGAAGGTCTGGGGTCCCGGGATGGGCTCGTTCGGGCTATGCGGCGTCTCTCGAAGAGACCCGAGATGTGGGGTTCGGTCAAAGAGGGAAGTGGTGGAGTTGAGGGGTGCAAAGACGAGATTTTGAGAGATTCAGTCGCTGGTGTGAGTGCGCACTCGGTAGGTCTAGGTTGTGGAGACATCAAGACTGAGGATTCATTAGGCGGCCGGCTCAAGAGAGAAGGCATTAAGACCGAGGATTCGTCAGAGTTCATTAGTACACTGAAAATGGAGGACTCGTCGGGTTATGGAATTAAGAGAGAAGGTCTCGTTGATTCCTTAGAGTTCATTAGTTCTTTGATACTGGAGGAGGACAATGTAGCTAGAGTTGTCCCTGGAAGGGTGATGGTGGTGAAGTTCTTCCCCACCACCGAACTGAGAATGGTGGCTGTTGGAAACAAGTACGGAAATGTCGGGTTTTGGAATATGGATCCCGAGAAAGAGGAGGGAGATGGCATATACTTGTACCACCCGCATTCTGGTCCAATTGGAGGGATCTCAATCCAACCATTCAACATTGCAAAGGTAGTTCTGATGCTTCTTTAGTACCTTTTTATTCTCCAGTTGTCAGTATCGATTTATCCTTTTGTTCTCAGTATTATGTCGAATTACGAATAATTTCCATGACTAGCATAAAGTTAATTGAAAGCACCTTTGTGAGGAGCAGGAATGTGGATACGTGATTGGAACTAAAGCAGGAATTCATGTTTATGTGCTTCATGCTGACCATGAATTCTATATTGATCAGTTTCCTGTCTGCCGGTTGGATTCAATATATGATTATTGAATTATTTCGCATTGTACTTTTTTGTTTGTGTTAGCACCATTTCATTGCTTTTTTGAGCTATACACATAGTGACCTGTTTAGTGCCGATTATACATTTCTCTTACATATTCTTATCATCCGGAAACTTTATTTCCTCACTGCCTGCCCTGTGAAAAGAAATGAAACTGAATCCAAATTTGAAAGGTTATCAGATTTGTCAAAATACAGATTAGCTGTATCGGAACTCAACTTCCATCATTGCTGTTGTTTGATTCAAATTTTCTTAATTTGTGAAAATTACATATGCTATACACGTGTCAAAGCATATATGATACTTGTGTGAACCATGAGTTCCCCAAGAGGGGCAACCATCCCAAGTTCTTATAACCACTGTTCATGGTAATGATCTTGAAGTACGTTTTAGCTTGGTTTCCAATCTATGTAATTCGTGTATGTTGAGTTATGTGGCACATATGCCCTTAAACGAATTTATGATGGTTGATCTTTTGTTCAGATTTTTACCTGCTGCTATGATGGATTTGTCCGCATGATGGATGTTGAGAAAGAGATATTTGATTTGGTACATGCAAGTGATGATGCTATCTTTTCTCTCTCTCAACGACCCAATGATGGAAGCTGCTTGTATTTTGGTGAGGGTCGTGGAGGTTTAAATATCTGGGATCTGAGGGTTGGAAAATCCACTGCTTTGTGGGCTCTGCATGAAGATAGAATCAACACCATAGACTTTAAACCACAAGATTGCTTTGTCTTTGCAACAAGTTCTTCAGAAGGAACTGCTTGTATTTGGGATTTAAGGAGAATGGGTGCTAAAAATCCGAAGAGTTTAAAGGTTATTGAACATGGAAGGGCCGTGCATTCTGCTTATTTTTCTCCTTCTGGTAGCTGCCTTGCAACGACAAGGTCAGTTGCAATGACTTCATAGGATGGAATAATAATTTGGACTTCTGGTTGGTTGTTAAAAGCCTGATTGTGTTTTATATTTTATACTTCAAGTGGACTACCGGGTCTTTCTTTTCAGTAACTTCCTTTGATGTTTTAAGGTTATCTTGGTTTTTTTTTAATAAGATAGTTGGCTTGTTCTTGCAGTTTTGACGACACTGTATGTATAGCGAGTGGGGACAATTTTGAGAAGACTTCTCACGTGTTCCACAATAACCAGACGGGTAGATGGATCTCCTCTTTCAGGTATGAATTGTTTAGGATATACTCGAGTTAGAATACTTACAGAAAATTTCAGATGCTGTTGTTTCTTGCGAGAGGTTGATGTTATGTTATAATCACTGGAATTGGCTGATTTGGGGACTTGTGCACTCGAGCATCACGTGTTAATGATATCTTTCATGAGCATTGAAAGTGCCTTAAAGCTCGATTATTGGCTCATTATGTTTGTTTAGTGGAACCAGCATGATTACCAGCCAGGTTCTGTCATGAAATTTGAGGTCCAGGTTAGAAATTTAGGAGCAAGTAAAATGGCATATTGATTTAGAGGTGCTTCTTGTTGGTGAAGTGTCAGTTTTGTTATGAAGAACAAGGTCTGAATTTTTACTGTGTTTTAATAATTGCTCAATGAATAAATGCTACTACTACCATCAGAATCCATTTACACGAGAAGGGCTGTGATCTTCCCTGTTCAGAATATTTTCGCCGGATGAGTAGACTACATAGCTTATGCATATGTATTGGTATTGATGGTACCTTATAGGGCCTAGGTTTTTATTAGTTTTTCAAGTGTGTGAATCTAATTATGTCCAGCTTCTCCATGTTCTGTGTAGTAAACATACTTTTTCTTCCATCATTCAACACTAGTGGTACAGCTGTTGTATGTTTGAATTAATTTAAATACCCGATAGTCTTGGGCTTATCTGCGCTTATTGCTTTAATCGTACAAGGAAAACTTTACTGGTACATGAGTATTAGATGACTTGATATCTCATTTTCTTTCTGGGAGCAGAGCAATCTGGGGCTGGGATGATTCATATATCTTCATTGGCAATACAAAGAGAGCAGTTGATGTCATCTCTCCAACACAAAGAAAAATTGTCAAGAGTTTGCAGAGTCCATGCATGTCTGCAATCCCCTGCAGGTTTGATGCACATCCGCTTGAGGTTGGGGTGCTAGCGGGAGCTACTGGCGGTGGTCAGGTTTATACCTGGACATCTCCATAGGTAGCGAATTCACTACAATCCTCGTCAGTAGGTCCAGTTAAGCTCTAGTGCATTACTTGTAAAATGTCAGTTTTAGTGATTCGGCCGTTGACTACTTTTGGTACTAGAAGGCTCTGACTGTCTGTCTCGCTCCGTCGGGGTGTTTTGATTTTGCTCAAATTTGCTCCGAGCCTTGCGAACTTGACTCTGCATAACTCAAATGAGAAATGTATTTCCAAGGAAATCTCAGAATGGTATGTAGGGAAGCTTTTGGTTGTCCCAACGTACTATATGAAGTTTTATGCATGGTGAGGCCTAGTGGAATGTTGAATTCAATCTTCCCGCAGTTAAGAGACTTGTTTCAAATTTCTCTTGTTTACATAGGAGCGTATCTTTGAATCCACTTCAGGATGGAGTGGGAAAAAAAGAGGTTCTCATGAAGTAACTGGGTTGATCTTACAACAGAACAGACGATTAAATAATCTGTCAGCAAGTCAAATCTGTGACACATAGTTAGACCAACGTGTTGCAATCTACACTAAAACTCTGATCTTTGACACGCTTCTCAAATTGACGAAAGCACAATAGAATGTACACGTGCTAATAGCCAGATGTAAAGCGCTTGGCAACTCGTGTTCCTAAAGGTCCGGAGGTATCGTGAGTACATGTGATCTAAACTACATCTCTTGCGACCTCCATAAATACCTCATCCGTTCATACACAGTTTTTTTTTTTTTTTGGTCAAACTGTTCATACGCACAAATTCAGCAGCTGCTCTGTGGACAAAAAGGCAGAGCAGATAAAGCTGAACTAGATCTTAAAGAGTCAGGCCTAATTGTTGCAGCATATTCAGAAACGTTCAGAATCAAGATATGGGAAGACATTAGTTATCCCCAAAGCAATGATTTTATCTCTTCCAAGAAGTCAGTTCTACAGGTAGCAAAGTTTCATCATTGAAAAGAACAGCTTGTGCCATCAGTTTACCAAGCAAACCATGGTACAACAGACCTCTGGCACCAAGCCCTCCAAAAAACCAATATTTACAAGAATGATTCCCAACCATCAAATCGTCTATTCTACCAAGAACTGGAAGTGATCCAAGGGAAGTGAGCGGCGGCATTGCCCTTATACCTGCCTTAGCTCCAACAAAAGACCAGTCCTTGATTTTCGGGTAAATGGCAGAAGCCTTAGGTAAAAGTTGTTCAAGTGCTGTCGAAGCTTCCTCTGCTGATACATCAGATGAATAGTTTCTCGACTTCCACTCCCATGTTGAGCCTACAAGTATATCCCGGGGTCCCTGAACAGCAAGCCATACATCGGACAGGATGGAGGGGCTGTGATCTGGATAAGTTTCTCTGGAGAAAAGCAAAGGTGACTTTCTATTGTTTAGTAAGGGGAAAAGAGTCACCGAAAAGACAAGCGAGCATAAGTACTTTGATGCAGATAGAGAGCCAATGAAAATGACAATCGAAATACCATACTTCAAGAAAATCCTCATCTTCCCCAATGATCCATATCTTTTTTATAATGGCGGGGACAATTAAGCCCACCATAAAGCTTTCCGCGTCACATTGATACAAGACGAATGTGATATAGCCCTTACCCAGCATTATCTGGTAGCTGCAAATGAGCGATGACCCCTCTGCATGTCCTAAGGGGAAGTCTGCCAGAGAGCTCGGGAAGGAGGTCTGCTTTGGCCCCTAGACAAACTATAACAGCATCATATTCTCCTGAATCGTCACAAATTCAATAAAAAAGTTAGCAATACATATTCGCTAGGTGATTTTCTAGCATAACCAACTTTTCTATTTGATTAGCAAATGAGCATATCCAACCTAATGACAAAGTAACTTGGAATACCTTCAAAATCACAGAGTCTGTCAATTGATTTCTTGCGCATGTAAAGCTCCTTTCCTCCAAAGTTTGAGGTTGACATCTCTTCTACTAAATCTTGACAAGCCAAGAAAAGTGCCTACTAAACTTAATTCAATGTAAAATGACAATTAGGGAAGAAAAAATAGAAGGAAAGATTAATCCCTGATGGTCAATACCAACCTGAAGATAGCACAAAGGATGGATATTCACTGCCTCGGGCATATGGAAGACAGAGTTAAAAGGTACTTGTATGTTAGGCACCAGAGCTTCTGCAGCATCCTTGTCAATTGACTCTATTTTACAAAAGGGAAGGCAATTTTGTGCATTCTGAAGATGAACGAAGCACCTAGATCACAATATAATCCACTAACAAAAAATTCTAACATGGTGATCGAAGAATTACATTAGTCAATATATCCAGGTGTTTTGCATCCATTGCTGGTCTTAAGATGCCCCTGCAGTAAACACCACATGAAACATCAACCAGCATTAAAAACCAATACAAAGAAATTGAAATAGCCTAATACAGAAGGTTCTAGACCACAAGAAGAAAGATGGAGTAAAAGGGAGTTACAAGAAATTAATAGCAGATTGAAATGTGGAAAGGTCAAAAAATATATGTAGGCACAAGAAACAAGTGAGATTGACAAGTCAATGCATGATAGCAGAAGAATATATGAAGACAAAGCCCTCTAATATACAGCATAGAAATTTGTCGAACAGGCCTATAATATGTAAAAGACAGTCAAATGCCAGCAAAAGAAAGACTAGAAGTATGATTACAAAATGGAGTACCTTCTCCTAATAATACTATCACCTAAATCCCACTCAAGCTCCAAGTTTAGAGAATTTGAATTCCTCTTATCCACCACTCTTTCAGCAATCTTTAGAAGCTTTAGACACTCTTTCCAACATTCTGCACCCTGCCAAAGAAGTTTTACTGCAAATCATAGAAAATCAGTTTACCTGCCCAATCAAAATTTAGAGCCACAATAAGAAGCTCCAATAGTAAAAACCATCAATCAGACCGGTGATTAGTCTACAAGTAGAGGAGGTGATGAGGACCTTTGGGTGAATACGGGTGAAGAAGTCCTCCAGCAATTCCAGATGCACCACCACCAACGCCACTTTCGTCATAGATGTCAATTCTTAGATGCAACTCTTCCGGGCTGTGCTGTGAAAGCAAATTCCGAACCACGAACGAATTATAAAGAACAAGCCTAGACCTGATCGACATCAAAAGTACCGCTAAGCATATGTTAAAACAAATATACCGTACAAAATAACAGAGGCAAACAATATTTATGGTCCCTGACAGGCAGAAAAGAGGATCGTAAAATCTGAATCTTCAAAAAAAGCCTGTATGGAAATTTCAAAGCGGCAACGCACTTCAAATGCTATGATCCAGTGACTGTCACTCCCAATGAAAAAGTGGAGTTGAGAAGATAACAAAGACGGGTCAGTGAGGGCAAAGCAAATGAAAAACATAGTTGAGCTGAAATATCAAGCCTCTGAGGAGTTAAAAAAGACCACAAAGTCAGTTCCCCCACCAACTTGCTACCAATCGATAGTTCTATACCAAGGACTAGTTTTCCATGCTTCGCAATATCAGCATAAAGACAAATCATCCGTCACGCCTCACCCCTCACAAATTCATACGCACAAACATCAATTTGGTCAGACTAAGCACGGGCCTTCCTAATCCTACTACAACCTACATTCTTAAACTAGCCATTAACAAGTTCTCGTGGGCATCTATGCCATACCCAATGCAATTAGCTGCAATTTGAACCATACAAAACGCGACCTTTCGCGGCATGCACAGCAGCATTTCTTCTCCATCGCAGGTGCTCAATGTCTAATCACCTCAGCGGAAACAGACTAAGATAACCCAAAAGTCCCTTTCCTTTTATCTTTTCAGTTCCACACTTTGCACATGAAATCTGCAACAACGGTATAACGAACAGAGAGGAGTGGAGTACCCGCAGCAGATGCCAGGCGACGGAGAGCCCAGCAAAGCCAGCACCAAGCACGGCGCATCTGCATCGCAAACCAAAGGCGAACAATAAAAATCGTTCCTTTCCGACAGAAACAAGCGACCCGGGATTCCATTCCATGGTTTTGAGTCATGGGAACGAGAAAGAGTACCTCAGAGGACGTCCGGCGAGAGAGGGGCGGTGAGTAGAGAGAGACGCCATTGAAGGGGCGGTCCTCCTCCTGCTACGACGGCGTGGAGCGTAGCAGGGAGGACGCACCGCCGGTTCTGTAGGAAGAAGCAGTTTCATATCAAACGATGCGACAAAAATCAAAGAGTGGACACACTCTGTCATGGGGTTTATGGACTCAAAAAGTACTTCATAATCAGCAAAAATATTTTTTTGTATTTACAGATGCTTAAGAATATAAACATAATTTACAGCGCCAAGACTTATTTTACGAATACTACATATAAATTAAGTGCACCATTTTTGGACTTACAATGCGATAAGGTATGCTACTGAGATTCGATTCCATTAGCAATTTGCTAGAAGGAAGTATAATGTCGATCTTCGAAAAGTAAGGCTCACCCAATTTACTAATTATGAAGGAAATTAGTACTTCGAATCGCGATTTAGATTTGTTATTTTACTTATGAGTTGCAAACCAAATAAATATTCAATCTTTCATGTCCAAGCTGCTCGATTATGTGAGCCCCTAGTGAAACCCACGTGATGACACCTCTACCCAAAGAGTCATTTATTGATTATCTTTAGGCATTTGTTAACAAGACTTTTTCTTTATAGAGTACAACATAGCGGTCAAGAGAATTGTACTCTTATGACAGTTTGATGAGAAGAGAAACTGCAGGCCGTACTCAACACTACGATCCAATTAACAATGGCATAAGTTTCATGAGAAGAGATTGAAGAGCTCAAGCTTCACTAAACTTGCGGTAGATCAGTAAAGCTGAAAGCATTCATCAGGGAAACACCATGTGCAGCTCTGTTCTCTTACCCAACCTTTGACTTGAAATATAAGACAATTTACACATTTTGACTCCTACAAAATCTAATTCTCAAACTTCAACTGAACAAACATCTGATAGTGAATAAGCCTACATGCTCGACAATTCAGGACATGAATATTTAACAGCCGCCCAGATGTAGCATTTTCTATGTTCCGCTGCCTGCAATGTTGGCTAATCAGACCCCACCATGTTGCAGTCGGCAAGTTTACATTATGCTACTGACCGATGCAATGTGCTCTTCAACATATCAGGCTTTCCGGAAGATGAGGCGCCTTTCCCTCTTATATTCAACTTCATCTCTTTGGTGCATAATTATGAGAGCTCTTCTCACCTGACGGCACAAGAAGTGATCAGTCAAATACCAGGATGCTAATCGGCAGCATGCCTTTTAGGGTAAATTTTTTTGAAACCAAATAGTC